ATAAGAGTCCAGAGCGTGTTGAGGCATATGTCACATTCGGGTTAGTAGCAAGTTAGCATCTTTCACACTGCTTCTTGTGTGTTGAGTTCAATGCAGTGAGTTCCTGAAAAAATGTGAAATATGTGCAGATGTGGACAGGTTCAAAGTGGTTCTTTTCTTGACATTGCGGCACCAAATGGTTTATTTGGTCTTGGCATGGAAAAGATATCGGTTCCAAGTGTTTTGGCGAGGGATGGTTTGGTTGCTGATTCTTTCTCCATGTGTTTTGGACACGATGGAGTTGGAAGGATCAGTTTTGGGGACAAAGGTAGTTCTGATCAGGAAGAGACTCCGTTTAATGTGAACCTATCACAGTAAGTGGTAATTCACTTATGCATGCGCTAATATGTAGATTCCCGTCTTTTGAAAAATCCGATATGCCAAGAATGCAGTCTTTTAACCATGGTGAAACTCGTTGCAGCCCAAACTACAATATCACAGTGACTCGGGTACGTGTGGGGACAACTCTAATAGATGATGACTTCACAGCTCTCTTTGACACCGGTACATCATTTACTTATTTGGTGGATCCGATGTATACAGCAGTCTCAGAGAGTGTAAGCAGCTAAACACAACCATATCTCTTTTTTTTTGTTCCTTGTGATGCTCGATTTTGATAACTCTATGATTCACATTGTCTTCTTCAGTTTCATTCTCAAGCGCAAGATAAGCGTCATTCGCCAGATTCAAGGATTCCTTTCGAGTATTGCTATGACATGAGGTATGAGTTTGTATCCATCCATCCACGCTCGATGTTTCTTTGTCTCCTCCACTCAAATCTAAGCATTTTTTTTTGTTAACGGTGTGATTAGCTCTGAGGCGAATGCTAGTTTGATACCAAGTTTAAGCCTCACAATGAAAGGAAACAGTCACTTCACCATCAACGATCCTATAATCGTCATCTCTACCGAGGTCATTCATAGTGTCTCTCTTTACATATTTCTCTACCGTTTTTTGTCATCCTCAACCGAATCTTAAGACTATCCGCACTTCATTTTTTGCAGGGTGAACTTGTGTATTGCCTGGCCATTGTCAAAAGCTCCGAGCTCAACATAATCGGACGTAAGATCAATTTTTCTTTTTATCGAGCATTGGAAATCAGTGGCCTCACATTGTTTACTCTTAATGAAACAGAGAACTACATGACCGGTTATCGTGTAGTATTCGACAGAGAGAAACTCATCTTAGCTTGGAAAAAGTTTGACTGTAAGTTTCCTCTTACGTTTGTTAGATAGATTTACTTAAAACTCTTGTCTTGTGACTTATAATCTGTGAACATCTCTTCGCACAGGCTATGATATCGAAGAAGAGACGACAAAGACGGCACCTGCTGGAGCAAACAAAACCACCGCTGCAGTAGCTCCAGCAATGGCAGCCGGAATAAGGACTCATAATAATTCCTCAGAGCCACACAAAACAAACAGAACCATCTCCAAAAATAGCTCTTCCTCAAACCAAAGATTTAAAACTGTAAAGCTATGGTCTTTTTTCAGATATGTGTTCATATTACTTGCACTTTTGTAGATTTTGTAGTCATCTTCTTCTACCATTTTTTTTGTTTGTATCATAACGAGCCTATAGAGATCGGTTTCTTGAGGAAAATATATGGCCTTTCACTATTGTCTCCTTTTCTCTCTTGGAATCAATCAATCAAGGCAAACCAAAAGATAATTTGGTTAGGGAGAAGGACGCTGAATATTCAAAAGGTATTAAAATGGGTCAATGAATTGGATTCGCATTTATTGATGTTAATGTACAGTATTGTGAACAAGATCGTTCTCTATATTAAAAGGCATATAAGAGAAATTTACTTTTAGATATATATACATTTCTTGTGAAATTATACTATCATCCAAGATGAAGATTAACATGGTTACACCAACATATGTCACGAGACTGGTTTTATTAACTAGATGATAATCCGCGTATACACGCAGGATATTTTCTAATATTTTTTAATATATTGTAATAGCGATTTTATTTTCTGTAAAATGTTTTGATGAAGTTACAAAATTTTAGTTTTGGTAGGTGATTTTTGGTGATTTCATTATTTTCATAAAAACTTGTTTTTGAACTAACAACAACATCATCAGAGACCCAATGAGGCTATGACGTATGGGACAATTGCAAAAATATCACTTTTGGTGTGCCACTTTTTAAAAATGCCACTATGGATTGTACATTTGCATAATACCACTAATTAAAGATTTTTAAAGTTTAAATCTTAAAATTTTAAACCCTACAAAAATATTTTGACCCCCCCAACAAACCCTGAACCTTCAAAACTAAATCATAATACAACATTGTTAACCCATATATCAATGATATAAGAGAAATTTCAAAAAATGTCACTTTTCAATTGCCACTTTACAAAAATGCCACACTTTTGAAATCTTTACAAAACTGTCACTTTTTCAAAATTATTTTTTCTTTATATTATTTATGTTTGGGTTAATTATGTTCTATTAGAGTTTAGTTTTGAGTGTTTAGGAGGTTTTAGGTGTCAAAACATTT